TCGTCCTACAAAAATCATTTGTTTAATCACTGCTTTTTCAAACTTATAGCTATCAGTCCAAACTACTGCCTTGCCTACTCGTTAATTAGTCTAACAATTAATAAACATTGTTGACGTATTATTATATTGCCTCTAATAATCGTTGTTAAAACATGTTAAATAATTATTATTGCTAGCTGTTTATTATAACAATTGTTAAAGTATTTGTCACAGTGTTCGTAAATTGATGTAAAATGTTAAAAAAATGAACGTGTTGTTAAATAATAAGAGGAAAGGAAGATTTTAATAATAATAAACAATAACAGTAATAAATAAAAATAAATAATATCAGAAAATAATAACAAATATATAATTGTTGAATAAATTATTTTATAATGAAATATAAGTAAAAAATTGATGAGCCCATTCTTCATTTTTTTAAATAAACAAAATAGGCGATGAAATAATTAAATTATCAAATATGATCAGAATTAAATTGTGCATTACCAAAGAACTAAAAATTAGAAAGATTCGAATTTTTTGTCTCTCAATTAAAAAATCGAAAAATATTAAATAACAATTTCGACAACATTTTTGTAAATAAATGATGATTTTAATTGATGAATAATAATTGAGTAATAAAATTAAAAGAACATCGTTACTTACATCGATATCACCGGCTAGGGACTGGCCATACTTCATCTGATAAGCATCCTTAATATCTCCAAGGTCGATCTCAGATCTGGCGACGATTATGCGGATCAAGGTTGTGTCGTCAGTCCCCATGCCCTTCATCGCTTTGTACAGCCTCTCGGCAAAGTAGAACGTCTTGTCCTTCGCGCATCTCACTATAAAAAAACAAATTCAATTTCAATTCAAAATAATTACAATCGTCCCAGGACAAACATCTCGAAAAATGGGATTGATATGAAAAAATGTTTTATACAAAAGTTTTATGGTTATAACAGATTATCTTGACATTTATTTAACCTTGCAGTTACCTTGATAAAGCCTATGAAGGTCATTTTGAATTTTTCATTTAGAATCTATATTTTTTATTGCATATTATTATTGCTTGTGTCGCGACCATTTCAAAACATTACCAAAACGTGTCTGCCACTGTCACTACTTTTCTGTCACACACACATAACGAAAGATAAAGAACCGTGTTAAAATGAAGGCAAACATGAGTCAGTATCTAGAAATCGTCTACATTTGCTTAGGAATTGAGAGACCAGAAATTGGGAGATTCAAATGAATAATTATTTGTTTTTAATTGATTTCTATGTCTTACCAACTGCTAAGTATCCATCCTCCAACGAACCGGAGAACTCGCTCTTAATCACGTCTTCCAAACTGTTCCCGGAGAGCCTCTCGTATTCTTTAAAGATTCTCCGCAGTTGTGGGTAGCTCTTCGTGATCAGGATCGCGTTGAATGTGCTCTCGTCGGTTCCCCATTGACCCTCGCCTGCGGCCATTAACCTCTCGGCGTCTTGGATCGCTGCTGCCTCGTCAACATCCGGGTTTTCGTTCCTACTCGCCTAAAATTACGAAATTTGAAATTCAAAAAATAGGAATTTCCGAAACTTTGATTAACAATTTCAAAAATTTCGAAATCTAGATTCGAAATTCAGAAAATTTGGAACCGAAATTTCAAAACCAGAATTGTAAATTCTAAAATTAGAATCGAAAATCTCGAACCTAGAACCGAAAATTCTACTAATAATAGGAAAAATAAAAATTATAGTAATAAAATCGAAGATTAATTAAGATAAAATTGTATTAAATCCAATTTTCTATTTATTGAATAAAATTTCATTATTTCTTGCTATACTTACGCATGACAAAGAGACTAACAGCCTCTTGAAGTGGCCGGAAGTGTCGCTTTTCAAATCATCTTCCAATTCGTTTCCATACACTGCAAATTTATATAATTATATGAAGGTACTTTTTAAAAGCCATATCCCCAAATACCCAAATGTCGAAATTCCTAAATTCTCAAATGCTCAAATCTCAGAACTCAACAATTCTTAAATTTCCAAATTCAAACATTTCAAAATTCTTAATTTCTCAAATTCTCGAAATACAAAAATCTGAAACTTTCAAATCACGAACTTCCGGGGTGCAAATATTCCGAAATTATCATATTTCCATCTTGCTAAATCCCTAAATTTCCAAATTTCGAGATTCTCAAATTCCCAAAATACCAAAATTAACAAATTAAAAATTCCACAATTCCGTATCTCAAAAATTCTACAAAACAACAATTCCATAACTCGGCAATTCCACAATTCGACAACTCCATAATTCCCAAATTAGAAAAACCCACTAATACCATAAAATGTTAAATATCCTCTAAACTACTTACAATTTTTATAGACCTCAGAAATGGTCTTGATTCCATAATTGCTCAAGCTGGCCAAGACCTCCACCAAGGCGCCCTCATCAGTCCCCATTCCCGATATAGCCTCATGTATCTCCTTTGCATAGAACTCGGGCAATGGAGTCATTAACGCGACGATCGCTTTCTCAAAATTCCCACCCAATTCCGACTTCAATTCAGAAATCAAATCCTTCCCATACATCGTTTTGAATTTATCTGCAATTTCAAGTCGTTGGACGATGCCTCTGTGGGCTAGGACGTCGATTATTGTCTGCTCGTCGGTCCCAAATCCTTTCATTGCAGTTCTAAGCAGAGCTGCATCCTCCTCGGCGTTGAAGGGGTCCGCTGGATAGACAGTTGGTGTGCACTAATAAGAAAAATTAAAATCTACATTCATTTTTCAAATTTTAGTATTTTTTTAAGTTGAAGCCATTGTTCGAAAATTCTGGAAAAGTTCAAAGAGGCGTCAGGCAGGTAGAAGTGTCTCTGAATTTTTTGGGAATGTTTTGAGAAGTTAAATACGATATAAAAATTATCAAATTATCAAGCGTCGAGATTAAGTACCTGCACATGGTAGTATTGACTGGCTGCCATTTTTCCACTGATCTCTCTAAATCACCTGCGAACAGAAAAAGACAATTCAATTTTTCAATTGCTCAATTATTTCCATTAATGATGATTACGTTAGGAATTAATTAGGAAAACTGTCGGGAGAAATGAATTAACCTAATTACTTTGGAACTTGGATTAAAAATTCAATGCCATCACTACTCTTAATTAAATTAGTTGTCATCACAATTTCATAACATTAATTGCATTAATAGTATTATTATTATTATTATATTATTCCTACTTTCTTATAACGTGTAGTTTAAAATTTCGATAGTAATTTTAATATTTATTGTAATTAAGAAAAATTTGTTTGTAATTTGAAAAACGAAGATTTTAAGCTGTGACAGAAATAATAACTTAAATGTTCATCAAAATAAGGAAAGTAATAATTTACTAAGTAAGGAAAATGTTCCAATTTCTGAATCGCTGATTCATTTTTTATGATTTTAAGAGAATTCCGAATGTCAGATTGACTCGTAGTGGCACCGTTCGGTTGCTAACAGGAAGTATTTCTGTTAGCCGGTGAGATCATCGCATTCCGCGTTCCTAATAGCTTTTTACCAGTACACGAAGTCCATAACACGTACATACAATGATAATTATAAAATACAAATAAGAATTATAACAATAATTATAAATTATAAAAATGGAAGCAAAACGAAAATTATATTATTTTATTGTGTGAAGTTTCTATTTTTATTGCAACAAAATAGGAATTATAAAAGTAAGATGATAACAATAAAAATAGAATTAGTACCGCATCATAAATAGTGTAAATCATCACAATAACATGTCGATTGGGAATTGGCAATGCTATCACTATTTACGTGTAAACCGGTGAGATCATCGATTGTTATATATTACCAAAACACGATACCTGTGCCTGTAAACATTTTCTTTTCGGCAGTCATGCAAGAATTAAGATCTCTGACGTTATCGAGACGGATTACGGATTTCTGATTGATTATAACCTAAATGTGCCAGTTTGTACTCAATGGCTTGTTTTCACTCATCGTATGTTATATGTTATATAAAATTTATATTATTATTTAAAATTTATATATCATTTTATGTATTATCTAAAATTTATATTTATATTATCAGAAATGGTAGACTTCCACCTTAGATAAGACCTTAGAACAACAATTCTGTAACTCCACAATTCAACAATTCTATGATTCCATAATTCCACGACGCCAAAAATTGTGAAGAATAACTTCAACTAATCGTAATAATAATTGTGTACATTGTCTAAAAATGATGGAGTAGGAATTGAGTCTTTTATATTAGATAGAGAATAACAATTCCACAATTCCACAACTCCACAATTCCTTAACTCCAAAAGTTGTACAAAAACTTCAGCATACATATTATTTTTAAACTATTGAGTAGAAATTTGGGATTTTTACCTTAGATACAAAAAACTTACAAGCTATAATAATCTCACTTTATTGTAAATCATTACGAATATCAACAAAACTCGTATTTATCAAGGAAGTATTCAATTTACCATTATAATTTTCATTCGAAATCAATAGAAATTTAGAACTGTTAACTGTTAATCTAATTTGCTAATTACTTAAACCGGTTCTCTTATTAGTAAACGGTACCAGTAAGTGTCACATTCTATATCTATAGTTGACCGAAACGACAAAGATTTCCAAATTGTACTTATTTGGATATCGATAGCATTGAAACTATTGATTCCTCTACTAATAAAAGGCTAATGCAGTTTAGTTTGGGCGTGGTTCTTACTTTCCTTTCGCGAGACTTGGCACGTAACTGGCTTCGGATCGAACACAATATTAACTCTACTACTGCTGGTAGCAAACTGTGGACCTGTGGATGTGGATCGTGGATCGTGTATCGTGAATTGTAGACCTAGAGTGTAGGGGAACGAAGAGAATGGTGATGACGTCCGCAGTTCTTGGCATTCTCCTCTGCCAACAAATGGATTATGTACATTCTGTGCGTGTGAAGGAGTCTTGTGGTGTGTGTGTGTGACTAGTACGAGAAGATGCCAATGGTGAGAAAGTTCGGAGAACGAAGAACGTTTAATATCACGATATAATCACTTATAAAGTTTTATCGGTGGTGATATTAGATGTTTAAACTTGTAAACGGTTTGGATATTTATTTGGGAATCTCATAGGTACTCTGGATTCCTAAATTCCCAAATTCTCAAATGCTAAAATTCTAAAATTCTATTTCCAAATTCCAAAGCTCAGAAATTCAGAAATGCCAAAACTGACAAATTCGCCGCAAAATTCCAAAACTCCTAAATTCTGTTACTAGTACTAGTACCATGAAATTAATTGAAGAGCCCAGGGCAACAGTCAGCTCGATTTCGACGTGACTGTAAAAGAACAATCTCGTCACTTTAGTTCGGTGCAACAAAAGCCCAAACCATGACGATGTATATCAGGCGGTCATACCGCTTGTGACTGTTCGTTGCTTCGTCCGATTCGAAAATTCAAATGGGCAGTCACGTCAAAATCGAGTTGACTGTCGCCCTGAGTTCTTAAATTTGAAATCACTCTGACCACTTTCTGCCACCTCTAAAAACTACTCCATCCACCTCTAAATGGCCTCTAAAAAACTTACAATGGCGGCTTATAAAGAAGACGATTGATTTTCCATAATAAATGTCAATTTTTCGTTTCCTTGCAAAGAATTCGACTTTCGACAACGAGTTAAGAGTCTCAGAAGTGATCTGGAATTTTTTCAAGAAGTATTTATAAAATATTTTATTACTCATGTCATACTGTTTCACTAACACATATTATCTCGACTAGAGTCAATTCTAAATTGGCATACTAAGTAAGAAATGAATGGTGAATCATTTAGATGAATATATCCATGTTTTACTATCTGTAGTACGTATCATTGATGATTGCATCACGATTGTAGGTTGCACATGAATCATTCATTTACCATACATACATTCTCACTACATTTCGTGTTTGTTTCATACCACGCCAGTCATAATAGACGTGACGTAACTGTGCAAGTATTTATACACATACACGTACGTCACGTAAATAATAATCAGACACGTATGTATTCTTAAAAATCGAATGACACATCGACGTCATAATGAGTTCCATGTAACATTTAACTTAATCATCATTTCATTTATTCAACATTTGATTCGTTTTATTTCATCTATCAAATATACATATACAGAGTATCTTGTTTAAAACAGGCCACCTAAATATCTCCTCTATCTCCGAAAATTCAAAAAATGTTTCTGACGTAATATAAATGGTTTCAAAAGACGAATCGGATAGAAGAATCGTTTTTTATAAATTGTAATCTTTTTAGTACATATTTCAAGATCACTCGTGTTTTTTATATATGTACACACATTTTTTGTTGTTACATATTATAGAAAACATTATTGTATAAAACATATTGCATTCATCCATGTTTAATAGCACGACGTTGAAATGACCGTGAACTCTAAAATTTACTGATTAATTCAGATCTTACTTTCAGCCTTCAGGTCCATGTGTCAACTCATGTACCTCAAGGACATATGTATAAATTTTAAAAAGAAACATGTTCCTAAAAATATAATTTAATAAGTACATCACATTATACTCCTGACAGTTACTGTTTTGAAAAATTATTCCTTGATTACGATTGTTTTATGAAAAATCATGACGGTACTGACAATTCATATGTTTAAATGTTTGTACACGGCGAGGCCAGGGCTGGGATAATTTT